TTCTACTTTTATTAAGTTTCTTGTCAGGGGACAAGAGGGTATGTACTGTTATAATTTACTTATCACTTATTATAATTTATAAACGAAGTCACGACACACGAATAGTGGAGAAAGGAGAACAACTAACAAGTAGATACGATGTAAATACCTAACCAGCTATCACAATCACATATTCAAGTCTTCGTAGTAAGTTTGTATGGACTATTTAACTATCGTCGGTGTATTGTTACTTTACCGGACACCCTTTTTTTTGAAATTTTTTTTTTTAAGACTCGTGTAGTTTACTATACCTACTGAGAACAATGGTGTAGTCCGAATTTGGCGGTCGGATTTAGTTTCGAAGTTATGGCTTAATGAAGTTCGCTATTGTCTATCTATGCCAATATTCAATAAATACTTCGTAGTTCGTACCTTTAATTTTTGTGACAAACTAACGACTAATTTCTGATGAAAAATAAATAATATAAGCACAATGCAAAAATTTTTTCAATGAGATAGATAAGACCAGCGTGAATAATTGCACTCAATAATCATTAATCGTTTTGTCATTTTATCTACATCGTGAAACGAGATTCGTATTTTGTCATTTGTGACTACCCACAGACTTCTATGCTTCACATTTAAACTGTATATAAAAAAAATATGTCGTTCAGATAACGAAATAAAATTATCAACATGTTATCCATAAAATTATCTTGTTTTCATTTTTTTTTATCAATATTAGCTAGTAGGTTATCAACGATCAACGTCAAAACCACAACAGAAACTGAATTTAAAAAAAATAGGTAGCTTCTAATTATTTTTAATTTTAGCAATATTAAGCAATATCTACCTATGTGTTTATCGATTTAGTTTCGAGTACGCAATTAAGTTGTTTGTGTAAAAATACTATCCAAAGAATGACATAATCATTAATTTTATGACATTTTTCCGTTCAGTATATCGTCTGTTCGCCACAATGAGCAAACCTCAAGTCGTTTTTGTCCTTGGAGGCCCTGGTGCAGGTAAGGGTACGCAATGTTCCAACATAGTATCCAAATTTGGATTTGTCCACCTGTCTGCTGGTGACCTGTTACGAGCAGAACGCAGTAAACCTGACAGTATGTTTGGAGAATTGATTGACAGTCATATCAAGAACGGTACAATTGTACCAGTAGAAATCACATGTAAACTTATTCAAAATGCGATGGAAGCATCAGCAGCTAGTCGATTTCTGATTGATGGATTTCCACGAAATAAAGACAATATGATTGGCTGGGATACAACAATTGGAGACCAAGTTGATCTTTTATTTGTGCTGTTTCTAGAATGTTCCGAAAATGTATGTATACAATTTAGTATAAAGTAGTTTAGAAGGCTTATTGTACTGAAAAACTTCTAGCAAAATTAACTATTATTTTATTTTAATAGGTATGCATAGAACGATGCATGAAAAGAGGTGCTGCTGGAAGTGGTCGTGCTGATGATAATTTAGAAAGTTTAAAAAAGAGGATTGTCACATTTGTGAATGATTCTATGCCGATTATAGAATATTTTAAAGAGAAGAATTTAGTGAAAAGAGTTGAAGCCGGGAAAAATGCTGAAGATGTATGGTCCGATATTATTGAATTATTCAAAAACATTTGAGTAGAAAAACAAAATAAATATTTAACTTATTAGACAATTTCCTAAATATGTAGATTAAATTACATTAATTTTTATTCTTGCACTATCCCAACAAAAGTTATTATTTTAAAATATGTATACCAGTGGTTCAAGATATTTAGATTAGTGTTTTAATTAGTTTTTTTTTATTTATTGAATGATCCAATAAAAACACAATAACATAATTTTAATTATTTTGAATGTTTTTAATTTCCATTAACCCTTCATCCTTAAAATGTAATTCTTAAATTTTACATGATAATTTAATGTCATGCCTAATTTTACAAAATGTAATATCATCAAACGGAAATACTTTCAAAACTTCAAAAGGGTTTTTGTATTGATTCTCTAAAACTATCTAGGTTCATATTCAAATAATTATTGAAAAAATGCAACCAAAATATAGAATGTTTATTTTATTTTAATATTTTAATTTTTCTATGGTTCTAAAATTTAACCAGTGTTTAATAAATTAAATTAAATCATTTTTAATTATACGAATATGACATAAGCCTATTTAATGTTTAACAAATATTACCATGATATTGATGTTTGATTTTATTTGGTGATAATTTAAATGTATAAAAATGAATATGACAAGTTACAATCCCTTACCAATCAAATATATTCTAGTTTAATTTTTGAGTTCAGAACTCTTAAATTTAATTTATTTGTGTTTTTATTAAAATTTGTTGTACGTAAGACATAACCATTAAAACATATTTTAGAATATTCCATTTTTATTTGTATAAAAGTTTATATAAAATATTTTTGTAATTATTATAACATCTTCAATTGCATTTGTTTGCATATTTTGAATTTTTAGTACAAAACTGCGAACCTGCATGATATTTTAAAATACCTAATCAATTGTATTACAAATGTATTAAACTAACTTTCAATCTCCCATTGATACCTACAACTTACATCATTATGAACATTTTATGTCATATACCTGATGGCCTAAATTATGATTATTAGTTAAGACCATGATAATAGATGAATAGATAATATTATAATATATCCTAAGATGTGCTACATGCATCTTGAACTAAGGCAATAATTATAGATGGAAAATCTGAAGAATTTCATGACACGATAATTGGAAATTAGAATAAACTCATGACCATGACCATGGTTTGGGCTCTACGTTGATCCCTCAGGAGGACAAATTCCTTTATATATATAGATTTAAATAAACTAATTCAATAATGATTCCTGACCAAATACTTTTAATAGTTATAAATTATAACCACACTTCCACTGGGCATAAGTATATAATACAACTAGCATGGCAAAATATATTATTTTATATAGGTATAAAAAATGTAACAGAAATACTGTACAAATGAAATAACTTTCGTTCTAAACTTCTAATCAATATTTAAACATTTTTTTCCATATATATAATTTATAGACGTTTGCGTTACAAATACAGCATACAATTTTTTTTTTAATACTGTAAATCAAGTTTTAAATTAAATCTAAAATTTTAATTTTAGTACAATATTTGATGAGTAAAAACGTTTAAATAAATCGGGTAGTTAGTTTTTAAATTTTTGAGAAATTAATATTTTTCGGAATAAATTAATTTGAAACGATAACTTTTTTCAAAATATTATTTTTGGGAATATTTCTAACACTATTAATTATTCTTGATATTAATATAAAATGTTCATAATTTTTGTATTAATTTATCTAGAATCAATTTTTATTTGGCAGGTCTATAGTAGATAGTCACTACGCTCTGAATATTATTTCTGATAAATATAACATATTTATTTTATTCTGCAATCAGGCCTCCGAATTTAAGTGTGTGAGCTTTACCAATTTTTATTATTTCAGATACATGTACATAATTGTCGAGATATTATAATTATATGTTAAAATCTCATTAATAAAAAAAAAAAATAAAAATAACATATTTATCATTTAAATAATTATATATAATACAGAAAACAGAATACAGAATACTACAACTATGCAGTGCTCAAAAAATTAGATAAGATATACAATCACAGGGGAGGCAATTGAGGCTTCTTTATTTATAGCCGTGATTGAAAGTTGATACTCGAAATAGATATACTTTATTTGGCCTCAATTTTTCCCCTCGAAAACCGCTGATAAGACCATTATGTTCTATCCATATCTTTATTATCTATGGGTATACTGTAGGCATAGAACCTGTAGGATCCGCATAAACATTTTTTAAAAATAAGGGGTGCTTGAGGACTTCCCGCCCCCAATTCTAATCAAGCATTGATATTGTCATAGAACCCTAGATCTAAAGTATTTTAAACCCCGATGTATAGATAATTATAATATTATCTACATTCTATATCGTGATCTAAGCATATTATCAGAATGCTGAAACCACGAATTAAGATTTAAGACACGGTCAGAAGATCTTAAGACCGTGATTTAAAATGTTATACAGGAAACGAAACGAATGATTTTAAAATTAAAAATTAGAGAACTATTTTTTTTGTCTATGATACTAATCAAGGTGTATTGATATTAAATATTAATATATCTTAAATCGTGGTCTGAGTGTAATGTGTTAGTGCCAAAATAATGGCTAGAAAAAAGCCAGGAGCTAGATTGGGTAATTTGTCGGCCAGATTGGAATGGAAAAGGCCAGATCTGGCCTTAAAAAGGCCAACATGGCCACCATGAACTATAATTAATAATTATCTTAGTTCGTGGTATATGAAATAAATATATGAAATATATTCTGTGGTTCCACGATTAAAGATATAAATATTAAAATATATAATGGTTGCTCGACGGGCTGTCATAAGCGATATCACATGACAATTGATATTACTCTCAGAATCTAACTGAGTGCGATCTCTATTCGTGAAAATAATGTTATATATTATTAAAATATTACATGAAACATTAGATGGTATATTCCCACGTAATTTAGGATAGCATTATAATATAGTACAATAGTCCTTAAAAATTTCACTACGTTCTACGAGCGCTGCAGAATTGTTCTTATCATAACTCATGAGAGTAATTACTAATTTTGAGAGCGGCAATTCCGTGCTCAGCCCGTTGGGCAACCACTATATTCAAGGTTAATTTATAAATTAATGCAAATTAATACAAATTAACACCTTGATTATAATATGTTTATATATTTGAATAATGGTTAGTTCCTTATTCTCCCGGTATCATGAGAAACTTATTAAAAATGTACCATGGTACCACTGTGTGTTATCTTGTAATCCGTGGCCACACTGTTAACTGTTAAGTAACCTCAAACGATAATTATGATCAGTCCTTTTCGTTCGTGTTGATTTTGTTTACTTCTCGAGTATTTCAGATTTTGTGTTGAAGAAACTACAATCATGGTAAGTATCTGAATTTATCTTAATAATCCTCTAGTTTTGAAGAAAAACGTTGATTCTTAATAATATACGTGAAACTCTAAGCCTTTTCACTCTATGGATAATGACACCGACTCAAACGATCAATTTCCCAAAGGCGGTGTCAAAAACCAATCTTGGCCGACTAAATTTTAAATTCTGTTCACTTAATAATGTATGAATAATATTATGAATTAGGGTCGCGTCAGGACGAAGACTGTCAAGAAGGCTGCCAGAGTTATCATCGAGAAGTATTACACTCGATTAACACTAGACTTCCACACCAACAAGAGGATATGTGAGGAAATCGCTATCATCCCCACAAAGCCACTGCGTAACAAAATCGCTGGGTAAATACTAATTACTAAATATGATATTGTTGATATTACGTTAGCCAAAACTGTGGTTGGTTCACAGATAAAATTAATCACGATTTTTTAAAGATCGTTAATAACTAATGATTACTGACTTGGTTAGTTTTGAATGAACCTACCTACCGTTAAACGTTGTCAACTTTGGGCAGTTTTGAAGTTATATTGTAAATAACTTTAAGATTAATTAATCTAATGTATTTTCAATGTTTGGTTAAGGTTTGGTCTTTTTTTCTATTGCATTTGAACAATACAAATTATTCCTTCTGATTTTTATTTATTTTCTACTCGCCCCATGTTGTATTGAATATTGAGGTATTCATATTTTTCTTTTGAAAAATCTAGTATATTCACTTCCACCAACTTTGGGCACTATTTAAAATTTTTCTGAGCTTAACAAATATATTTTGTAACTTGTTTATTAACATATAAAAATAATAACCTAACATTTTTGTTCTTATAATTGTCACCAATTTTTCTCCGACGTTTACCCATCTGTACAAAATAAAAATAACTAGAGTATAGGTACTATTTAGACTAAAAACATATATCCAACCACATTTTTTTGGACATTGGCAAAACGATAAATAATGAACATAAAATGAATACCTACATTTTAAATTTCATACTGCTACACTACCAAATTATTTGTTTTACCCCAGAACTAACAGAAGGGAATCTTATTTCATTTAACATAGGCTCTTATGGGAGATGATAAAACTACGTCCGACATTTCTAAAATTTAAACGTGCTGCCACGTACCGGGAATTTCTCTTTTTCTTTATATTGTGCAGCACTGTTTATTCGTTCAAATTTCTAATATATTATTATATTCAAACAATCAAACCGATTTTTTTTAAGAAATTGCATTTTTACCATTTATCTAAGTACAGAATCTAAGAAAAACAAAAACTATACATATTTTATTTATCACTATATTTAGTTGATGAATGAACAAAAATGCATAGGTACACAGAAGATTACAAAACAAATTACGTACGCTGGTTTTAAATAATCTAAGCAGTACTAATTTTATTTTATTTTTTTGGAACTTGTGTAATTAGTACACGCAATTGCTAAGACAAATTGAAGATTTATTCTAAATAAATATACTGGTAGAAGTATGTGACATTGTTACATAACCTGTATCTATAGTCAGTAGGAATACCTCAAATTCACATTTAATACTCTCTGAGCATAATTACACCGTATAAATTCAATTTATTTTTTTATTTTTTTGTAAACAAAATCAAAAACAAATTACATCATCGTAATCAATTATTACAAATAATAAAACAAATATAACAATCAACACGCATAACAAGTTAACATTATAATTTATTTAATAGGAAAACTCAGACTTTGATAGTTACCAAATGAGGAATATTAATTATGAAAGTACGTTAGTACTTGACTAAAAAATTACAAAAATAATAAAGTTAAAATAACAATAATGAGTGGAATTGCAGATTAACAGTGTAGCCACAAACCACAGAAAACTTTAAAAAAAAGGAAATTTCTCGGTACGTGGCAGCACGTTTAAAATCTAGAAATGTCGGACGGTTTTTCGATGAGCCTTAAGATTCCCTCCTGTTTGTTCTGTAGTTTCACATTAATTTATTGATAAGAGACTATTATGGAGGTAAAACTATAAGATAATAATTTTGGCCCATTTGATGGTATATTGTTAATTATTATTATTCTACAGTGGCGTGTAACATAGGGTCCGAGTGTTTGGGCAACACCTTAAATATGGTTGGGTGGGTATTGATAGGTAAAAATATAGGTATTTTATAGGTTGGTATGACGGTATTATGAGGGGTAGGTCTCCTAAAAATATTTGAGCAACATCAATTTCTTTTATGATACACGTAACTGTTATTCTGTGTTAGGTATATAATTTATAACTTAAAATTAAATTTTAATTCTTCATACCATTTAAATAGAACTTCTCGTTTGATTGAATAAAATCAATAAGTACTCTTCAGTTCTTTATTTTTAAATTTATTTATTGAAGCCTAAACAACAAAGGCTGTGATAAATTAAATAAACATTACAAAAAAATTAAAATATCGAGTTTTTATACTACTTAAAAATATAAAATTTTGATTGTTTTAGAAAAGTTATAAGTATTTAAGTGTTAAATCAGTGTTTGGGTCAAGTGTTTCCATATAGGTTCTCTAAAATTTTTAAATAACTCAAGTGTTAGTTAGGGATAATGTCTCCGTATGTTTGACACATCTAATCCAGCTTATTTCTTTAGATAGTTATTGTTCTTTTGAGTTACTGTATATATTTAATATGTTGCCTAAATATCCATCTCCATCTCCGACAAATGAATTGCTGTAATTGAAAATAATGATAATAATATTAATTTTCTTTAAAGTTAAAATATTATATTCTTTTAATTATGTGTTTGAAATTATTTTACTCCGAAATGTTATCATTAATACTTGAAATACTCCAAAAAGAAATTTCGATATTGGCTATTTTATAATATAAAGTTGATTAGTTATATTTTAAATATATTGAAATCAAACACAAAGCTATTTAAAATGTTTGGATGTTAACTCAAAACTTTTGAAAGTAACAATCATAACAATCAAATTTAGTAATATTAGTAACCATCAAATATTTATAGGTTATAACTCATAAACTACATATCATAAATGTAACAAAATACTCCGTTGTCAAAGATTTAATTAAAACTATGTCAAAAAAGTATATTTTCAAAAACAAATACTTTTTGAAATAATGAGTTCATGATAAAAGAATCATCCTGTATAGAAATCAACAGTCTTGCCCAACATCAAAAGATATCAATCTTATATTCTTATGTTTAATTTTTTTTTTAAATCTTGACTTTACAGATTTGTTACTCATTTAATGAAACGATTGCGTACAAGTCAAGTTCGTGGTATTTCCATTAAATTGCAAGAAGAAGAACGTGAGAGGAGAGACAACTATGTACCAGAAGTTTCTGCTCTTGAACAAGATGTTATTGAAGTCGATACTGAAACCAAAGACATGTTGAAAATGCTGGTATGTTACTATTTTTTATTATTTATACTTTATAATAAAGTAGTTAGCTATATTATAATTTTTTTATTTTAAGGATTTCCAAAACATCTCAGGATTACAACTTGTCCTCAGCGGAACCCAGTACCCCAAGAGGAATTAAGACATGTGAGTCACATGATGTGACAATCGTTATAACAGCTTATGATTCAGTAAAACAAATTTTCCAAACATGTTATTATTTATTTATTTTAACTTTAAGGACTGCCCCACACATAGCAGTTACAACCTCAGAATCATAGAAACAGCCCAAAATAGACGGGTAGTGCCATACACACCGCACAGATCAACAGTACTTACAGTGTTTCGCCCATGCGTTAAACTGCTATGTGTGATGCCTGCCTAAATTCTTAATTGACATCTTCCATTAAAAAAATTACAAATCCTAATTTCCTAAAAACCCTTAAGTTAAATATTATTTATAACTTATTCAAAATGAATATATATTTTTAGACTTCTTAAACAAGATTTACATGCTGATATGAATATATTTCTTAAATTCTAACTACCTGTTAGATTTTTTAGTTCTAAACTTGAGAAAAGGTTTTTCTTAATAATTGTCTCTTTGAAAAACTGATTTTGGTGTATACTCTATTCACCATGATAATTTACCAATGCGTGCATGCAGATTGATGGGTGAGTGTCTAACAGGCATTCTATGTGCAAAACAAATAAATTTTTCTCGAGTCGCAGTCCGTTCTCTTGCTGGATAGTTTGATTTAAACAACTAAACAATTGAAAAAATGTTGTATTTTACAATGTATACAAATTGTATTTGTGCTGGAGTTTTTAAGGAAAAATGAAACAATTTAATTTGATTATTGCTCTTTTAGAGATGTAGAACTGGATGTTGCATAGTTTAGTTTCTTGATAATGTCACTATGGCACTACAGTTCTTTTCAGTCTCGATTATGAAATTATACTACTTCTCATACATCAGTGATCAATTTATTACGTAGTATTAAAAAATTAAAACGAAGTTTTTGCTGATATACACTATAATTTTACTTATAACTAGTTATAGTGTTATACTAGTATAACAAAACTCATACTTAGAATAATATTTCAAAACACATAGTGTGGTGAAACCCTAAACCAGCACCGGATTGCCAAGGTATCGGCCTATTTTTCAATAAAATAAAATAAATTATACTTATTACATTAAGAATTTGGGATAGACAAATAATAAAAATATGGCCTAAACGTTTAATATAAATAATAAGTACCTAATAATAATGATACTTGGCAATGCCTAACATGCAATACAAACTACTCTATCAAACTTATCGTTGTCATCATCCACTGCCCAAACCAACGGAGCTGGGAAAGACTTCAACATCCCTAACAACCTGTACAAAGAAATTTTCAAACTATCGAAACTTCATTTTAAACTTAAAAAATTTGAATTGTACAATAGCATATTGCATATAACTATATAAGTATATAACAATGTAAAAAAGTAATTATCTTGTTAAAGCTAATAACCGGACTAGTTAATGCTTAACCAATAAAGAAAAAATAATAATACATGGCAATTATTAAACTCCTAAAATGTAGTCGAGATATGCAATAATACACATGTAAAATACGTTCAGTGTTGAGGGGGGGGGGGTGTTGACAAATTAAAGGGACCTAGGTGTTTAGCAATTAGCAACTACTGCACACCTAGTTGCTTATCGGTAGTTACATCACCGTATGTCCGTATTTTAAACATTAATTGGTATTTTTTCACTAAATACCTACTTTATTTTTAATATATTTATAGAAAGACAAGAATTAAAATTAAATATTGCGGTGTTACTGTCACTATCGAGGTGCGATTAAAAATGTATGGTGAAAAGACCGCCGCCACTGAAATTATTATTAGATATTGGGTATTCGGAATTATATTATATCATATAAACAATGAATTTTATTGTAGAAATAAATGTTAGTTGAACAACATAATATTTTTATATATAATGTATATTTTTTTTATGTACTCTACATTGAAAATGGTTGTAGCGCCACCTGCGGTGGCGTGGTGCACACTTAACATAGACCATTCTTCCCATTTTCCATGGTAGGTGTGCAGATTTCCTGCACAAATGGCCAATGGGACATAATAAACTCACCAGAATACAATTACGGTGCAGAGAAGCAGACCACCGTCCATCAATCATATCGCTTTCGAATGCCCAAGCCGCTTCTATATCAGGGACCCAGAATAGATTGTCTCACAACCCCGCCCACGTTTAGTGGCGGGCAACCAAGATCTCCTAATCTAATACCAAATGTATTATTATATATTATTCACTGTTAATCTGTTTATAGTTTATTCCATAAAACTTTAAATTTTGTTCTATTTTATTTTATTTATATATTCATGTTACCTTTTAATCATTGCCTGGCTTATTGAATTTAATCATAAACCATACGCTAAATAAATAAAATGCGCTCTGTGTCTGTAGGTATAAACAATCACAAACACCACTATCGTCTATAATATCACTCGTTGTGTAGTAGGTACTAGAGCGTATGGTCATTCTTAGCTATAAATTACATTTTATTAGTATTTTTCAATTATTAATGTAATGGTTTTGTATACTTTTTGTTTTAATTTAACATTTTTCATAGACATACATCCCCGTTATCTTACAGATTTTTATTTGTATTCAGATATTCTCGTATTTGACTACACAAAATCGGATACATCAATACATACCTATCACACATAATAATATACTACTGAGTATGCGATTACTTCGTGTATAAGACCGGTGCTGAGGAGTGGGGACTTATGTTTTCGATGGGGTATGCGCGTTTTGGTTTGTGCGCTACGCCGCTACCATATTCTCTCGGCAAACGGAGTGGCGTAGGGCTAAAATGTAATTATGGAAACATTGGAAACTATTGCCGTAATGTACCTAGCTTGCCTATATTATACACCGGGTAACACTATGCACGAAGCATTTAAAGGAGCATACTGAAAATTTCGATTAGCTATAACTACGAAACTAAATTCGTACGTCAAATTCTGATTCTATCAACATTTTTTTCACCCAAAAAATGACTGTCCCACATGTTAAAATACGTAAAAAAAATTTTAATTTGTTATAGGCGCTGCGCTTGGCGGTCAAATAGCGTTGAGCGCAAGCACATAAACGTAAAATCACAAACTTTAGAAGGCTATAACTTCTAAAATAATAGTTTAATTATTAAAAAAATAATCGCCCTGCTATTGGCATACGTAGCTTAATATATATTATCGCAACTTTAAATACGATGTACGACAAGGTTATGTATAAGTTTCCACACCACCTGTTGGCTTGTTAAAAGACAAGATAATATAATGTCATATCGTCCAAGTTATATCCCCGGTAGGCCTAATCCACATCGTAAGCTAAAACGCGCGAACGCCGATCGACTACAATAAAATGAATTAATATAGATTGGTATTAAGAAAACTGTATTTCACGCGAATAGATACATTAATTTAAAATATAATAAAATAAAATAAATACCCAATGATTCATTGAATATAGGTTTTAACTTTTAATTTTTAACTTTGACGGCATTCGCCCATTTCCAGCTTACTTGTGTTGAATTTAAGTGCATTACAGCCTCTGAAAATAGACGAGCGAGGCGCTGCAGGCGCGTTGGGGAAATTTGTATTTGTCCCATGGTATTATATAAGGCCAGGTAGTCAAAACGAGTTAAAATGTTTCGGGTTTCGTATATTAGAAACCGGGTAAAAAATTTTGCTCGTGGGTTAGGGGTTTTGCGTTCAAAACCGGGTAAAATTGTTTGCGGGTTTCGCGTCCGAAACCGGGTAAAATTGTTAGCGGTTTAGGGTATGGGGTGCATAGGCTGGTCAAATTGCGCGTGGGTTATGGGTTTTGCGTTCAAAACCGGGTAAAATTGTTTGCGGGTTTCGCGTCCGAAACCGGGTACGAGTAAAGGGATATAAAAGTGGGTCAAATTGGGTATGGAATTTGAGAATGGGTACAATTTAAGGAGGGTTACCCTTTTTTACTCCCTGAATTTATAACGACCATGTTATTTCTGACCACAAAATGTTGGAGCCCCTAAAATTCTGGCGCCCGGGGCAGTTGTAAATAGCGCTCTCCCCTAAATATGCGGCCCTGTATATTGCAATGGTCTGCTTGCCTTTAATATATTCAGCCCCACCCCCCCAAGCCAAAAGTTGAAATTGCGCCTATGAGACCCCTTAAGGTCATTTTATGATACCTACGGAATTTAAATATATTGAAAAACATTATAAGAAACAAAATGAATGTTTAGATTGGTCAAATCTACATTAGTTTTGACTTTTGACAAAACCTGCTGCAGCCCCCTTAAACATAATATAGGAAATCCAAAATACAAATTAATTTGTCTCGTCAATAAATGTGCATTTTTATCTATATTAAAAAAAAACTTGTATTTACTTCCAATGTAAAAAAAAAACACAAATAAATTAAATTTATGAGTTCTGAACTCAAAAATTAAACTAGAATATATTTGATTGGTAAGGGATTGTAACTTGTCATATTCATTTTTATACATTTAAATTATCACCAAATAAAATCAAACATCAATATCATGGTAATATTTGTTAAACATTAAATAGGCTTATGTCATATTCGTATAATTAAAAATGATTTAATTTAATTTATTAAACACTGGTTAAATTTTAGAACCATAGAAAAATTAAAATATTAAAATAAAATAAACATTCTATATTTTAATTGCATTTTTTCAATAATTATTTGAATATTATGAACCTTGATAGTTTTAGATAATCAATACAAAAACCCTTTTGAAGTTTTGAAAGTATTTTTGTTTGATGTTATTACATTTTATAAAATTAGGCATGACATTAAATTATCATGTAAAATTTAAGAATTACATTTTAAGGATGAAGGGTTAATGGAAATTAAAAACATTCAAAATAATTAAAATTATGTTATTGTGTTTTTATTGGATCATTCAATAAATAAAAAAAAACTAATTAAAACACTAATCTAAATATCTTGAATCACTGGTATACATATTTTAAAATAATAACTTTTGTTGGGATAGTGCAAGAATAAAAATTAATGTAATTTAATCTACATATTTAGGAAATTGTCTAATAAGTTAAATATTTATTTTGTTTCTCTACTCAAATGTTTTTGAATAATTCAATAATATCGGACCATACATCTTCAGCATTTTTCTCGGCTTCAACTCTTTTCACTAAATTCTTCTCTTTAAAATATTCTATAATCGGCATAGAATCATTCACAAATGTGACAATCCTCTTTTTTAAACTTTCTAAATTATCATCAGCACGACCACTTCCAGCAGCACCTCTTTTCATGCATCGTTCTATGCATACCTATTAAAATAAAATAATAGTTAATTTTGCTAGAAGTTTTTCAGTACAATAAGCCTTCTAAACTACTTTATACTAAATTGTATACATACATTTTCGGAACATTCTAGAAACAGCACAAATAAAAGATCAACTTGGTCTCCAATTGTTGTATCCCAGCCAATCATATTGTCTTTATTTCGTGGAAATCCATCAATCAGAAATCGACTAGCTGCTGATGCTTCCATCGCATTTTGAATAAGTTTACATGTGATTTCTACTGGTACAATTGTACCGTTCTTGATATGACTGTCAATCAATTCTCCAAACATACTGTCAGGTTTACTGCGTTCTGCTCGTAACAGGTCACCAGCAGACAGGTGGACAAATCCAAATTTGGATACTATGTTGGAACATTGCGTACCCTTACCTGCACCAGGGCCTCCAAGGACAAAAACGACTTGAGGTTTGCTCATTGTGGCGAACAGACGATATACTGAACGGAAAAATGTCATAAAATTAATGATTATGTCATTCTTTGGATAGTATTTTTACACAAACAACTTAATTGCGTACTCGAAACTAAATAGATAAACACATCATAGGTAGGTATTGCTTAATATTTCTAAAACTATTAGAAGCTATGTATTTTTTTTATAATTTTAGTTGTTTAAAAATTTAGTTGTTTTCGTATATGCAATGATTATTATAATTAATGTGACATACAAACCATACTGACCATCATAATATTTCTTTTAACCATGGATGGACAATTATATTATATTTATTCAACGAAAAAAAAATTTTTGAAAAGAATTTCACTTAAGTCTTCTTTTTAATCTTTACCAATAATACACTTTTAAAATTTAAAAAGATTTTAATTTGAAATTAGAAATTTTATTATTTTTAATTTTTATATAAATTATAATTTTGATTTAAAATTTAAATATTAAGAATAATTAATTTTAATTTTTAACTTTTAAATGCATCTATGTATATCGCGTTACTATTATAAAAAACGTTAAACAAAAAGGATAATTTTTAAACCAATAAACAAAAAAAGAAAACGAAAAACAATACAGTAAATAATATAAAACAATTTGAAATGAAAATAAGGGAATACTTTTTTTTTTTTTTACATCATTACAAGCTTTATATTATGAGACTTAAAATAGAAAACACGAGAAATAAAGAAAAGAAAAATATACAGAAATTTAATAAATTAAGAGGTTGCTGTGAGACATGCTTATGTATAGGTAATTTTAATTAGAGTAATCATTTTCTAAATATAAGAAAAGCCATTTTTTTTATATATTGTTTAGCAGTGTCATAAGATTTAGAGCATGAATTTTTATTTGTGCCTTTATGATGACGATTATATTCAATGTATATTTGGAAAAATACGATTTCAAACTCTGTCGATTCAAGACCATGTAAACTAAAACGTGTATCGTTAATTACCAATGTTATTTCAATTCAAACTAGAGTAATTTTTAAAGCATAACAATTATATTCAATGCATATTTAAACAAATAACATTTCAAACTTTGTCGATTAATTAATATGTCAATTACAATTTACAATGCATCTCATTTAAAAAATGTGTTTCAAAAAAATTATGAATCAATGTAGTATTTTTCAAACGTTTGCAATGCGTCCAGTTGAGTACCCACCACGCATAGGCGTAAAATGGGGGGGGGCGAGAGGGGGCAACTGCCCCCTCTCACAAAATTGAACGGGGCAATGCCCCCTTGGTATTTTGTAAATTAATTTGAAAAATATTATCAAAAATGCATTTTAGATTTGTAAGAATTACTTTTTCGAAAAACTAAAAAGTATATTTTAAAAAGATTATCTATAGAAAAAAAATTAATTGATTAATCGAAATGTATTTATTCATTGTCATTTGCCATAATATGCGATATGCCATCTTAATTCATCACGATAACAGAATTTAGTAGTTTGTAACACCTACAATATTAACTTTGATGACTTAAAGGCAGAATTAAAACTGTTTGGGAAAATGTGTTCATCAACTAATATTGATGAACATTTTGAAGCCCATTTAACTTTGTATTTAGAAAAAGACTTGATTGGCTCATTTGACAATATTTACCTTCTTTATAAAATTTTTCTTTCTATTCCAATGAGTTCTGCTTCAAGTGAACGTTCGTTTTCATCTCTTCGTCGCCTCAAAACATTTACAAGAAACACGATTGGCCAAGAAAGACTTAGTAGCTTGGCTATTTTACATATTGAAAAAACTTTTGAAATTAACTTTGATACAATTATTGATCAGTTTGATGCAGATTCAACAGAAAGAGGTAGAAGACTTCAATTGTCATAGACTTATTACAACATTATAATATTAGGTTTAAATTTTAATAATGTTATAAGTATAATCTTTGTATTTATGTATAAATATAAATTCCATTTTATTTAAAAATAAAGCAACAGGTAGAATATATAAATGCAGAATGTTTTTATTAAATAAACCATCATCTTATCAAGCTTTTTCCGTCATGTCATTTAATTTTACATGCTACATTAAAGATTTATCTTAGATAATATTATTATGTTATGCTTTCCAGTTTCCATTGATTAAGTATATTTAGTGTCTTAATTAATATCTAAATACCAGTATACGGTATATCGACATAAAATAAAATTTGCCCCCCCATAAAAATTGCCCAAGTTACGCCCATGCCACCACGGTTTAAGATATTAAGAGATTAGAAGAGATTAGCATTATGCCATTATCTTAAATCAGTCTACTCAGTACGGACGCATTGCAAACATTTGAAAAATACTGCATTGATTCATAACCCCACGTCCCCACAGTGACCACCCCCCACAGTTCACGAACATATTATAATAGTAGTCAGTAGACGGTGGACAGTGGCTAGAGAGTTATTTATTTTTTTTTATAGTACTATCGCAATTCGAAAAATAGAGAAATTAAAAATACCGATTATTATAAATTCAAAAAGATAATACTATCTATATACATCGTGCATTTAACTAATGAAAATATACGCCATCTACTCGTGTAAAAAGGCTTAAAAAATATAACCAATGATATCAGTCATATTCTCATATTATTTATCCTGATCTATAGGTATGTCACGTTTGCAATGTCCGAATTTGAAATTGGTCATCAAACAAATACTTACTGCTGGACAAATCGGTTTTCAGACTCGTCTGTCCGCCAACACTCGACATTTTTCGAAATTGAGTAATTGGGGCACTAAAAAGTCAGCTACCAACGTGAAGATAGTCAACCATCATCCGGATACCATGGCGGATACACAAGTCGAACAAATTTTGGCTCCCTTGAGAGAGGCTGTAAAGAAACAAGTGAGTGGGCACAGATTATTTTGTAAATATATTAACAAAACAATGAGTGATATGTGTGTTTTCATTTGTTTCTGGCAGGGTCTCGTGGTGAGGTCTATGAAGGAATCAAATGCCTCAGATACGGAAGTGAAAAAAGCCGTTGGAGAATTGAAAGCGTTGAAGAAACAATTAGATGATAAAGAGTTAGCTTTACAACCACCCTCAGAAACATTTAATAGGTCTAAATTTGCAGACCTTATGATCCGTAGATTTTTTTACGACCAATCTTTTTCTATTTATGGAGGTATGTCAAGATTTATGGAATACTAACAGCAATTCATAATTTTAACATTTTTGTGTAATATTATTTAGGCATTGCTGGATTATATGATTTTGGACCAATGGGTTGTGCATTGAAATCAAATATTTTAGAACAATGGAAACGTTTTTTTGTTCTTGAAGAACAGATGCTTGAAATTGATTGTTCAATGTTGACACCGGAACGAGTTTTAGAGTAAGACTTTATTTCAGAATCTGTGTAGGTAACTTTTGATATTTATCCTGTATTTTAATCCATTTAAGGACTTCGGGACATGTGGAGAAGTTTGCTGATACCATGGTGAAGGATAAAAAAACTGGAGAATGCTTCAGACTTGACCATTTAATCAAGAATCGCTTGGAAACTTTAATCAAGGATAAAAAACAAACTCCTGAAGTTAAAGAAGAATGCAAAGATATTATAATTAAATTGGATGGTATGACTACAGAGCAAATGTCTGATATTGTAAATAAATTTAACATGAAATCACCTACTACTGGAAATGATCTTTCTGAACCCGTTGATTTCAATCTCATGTTTGCAACTCAGATTGGACCTACAGGAGACCAAAAGGGGTTTGTAGTTGTGGTTTAAATTTAAATTTTATAATGTGAGACTTATTAAAATAAAAATATTTACTGTTAAATTAGATTTTTGAGACCGGAAACTGCACAAGGTATATTTGTCAATTTCAAACGTTTACTTGAGTTTAATCAAGGGAGATTGCCATTTGCTGCTGCTCAAATTGGTAATGCTTTTCGAAATGAAATTTCTCCTCGTTCTGGATTATTAAGAGTTCGGTAAATTAATTTTTATATTTGATATAAAATAGAGTATTATAAAAAATGAAATACACTCATCTTAGGGAATTTACTATGGCCGAAATAGAACATTTCTGTGACCCAAGCGATAAATCACATTCAAAATTTAGTGATGTAGAAAATACCATAATGAGGTTATACAGTGCTTGTAATCAAATGGATGGACAACCTCCTGTTGACATCACAATTGGCCAAGCTGTATCTAAAGTAAAAATCATATATTACATTAGAAAAATTAAGTACTTAATTAATTATTATCACAAATATTTATTTTCAGGGTATGGTAGCTAATCAAACATTGGGATACTTCATGGCTCGTATTTACTTGTTTATGATGAAAATTGGAGTGAACAAAGAAAAATTAAGATTTCGACAACACATGTCAAATGAAATGGCTCATTATGCTGTTGACTGCTGGGATGCTGAGTGTCTAACTTCTTATGTGGGTATTTTTTATTAATTTAGGCTTAAAATTGAAAAATACATTATTTAACAGTAATTATAATTTTTTTTATAGGGTTGGGTAGAGTGTATTGGTTGTGCTGATCGGTCAGCATATGACCTCAGTAAACATGGAGAAGAAACTAAACAAAGGTTAGTGGCTGAAAGAAAATTGCCTGCACCTAAAACAATTCAAGTTACAGGTAAGTACTATTTTTTAATTAAATTAATTTATGATTTAACCTTGAAGCTATGTTTTTATAGAATTGGAAATGGATAAAGGTTTGATTGGTAAGACACTACGCAAAGATTCCAAAGAGTGTGTTGAAAAATTATCAAAATTATCAATAAACGAAGTTAAACAATTACACGAATTCATTGATAATGGGTAATATAATTTTGAAATGCTTTAAACACTATTTCCAATATTTAGGTAGTTAATCTAAAAATTATAAATACTTTTAATTAAAAGATAAATACATAAATCTAATTTTATTATTTTTGTTACTTGAAGAACACGTGATCCAACTACTGGATTAACTTTGTGTAAAATTGGTAA